TGTTGCCCAGGCTAGAGTGAGTGCCGTGGCGTCAGCCTAGCTCACAGCAACCTCAGACTCCTGGGCTCAAGCGATCCTGCTGCCTCAGCCTCCCAAGTAGCTGGGACTACAGGCATGCGCCACCATGCCCGGCTAATTTTCTATATATATCAGTTGGCCAATTAATTTCTTTCTATTTATAGTAGAGATGGGGTCTTGTTCTTGCTCAGGCTGGTTTCGAACTCCTGACCTCGAGCAATCCGCCCGCCTCAGCCTCCCAGAGTGCTAGGATTACAGGCGTGAGCCATCGCCCCGGCCTCCTAGAATGTTTAAATCTTACTTTATATTGGCAAAAGGGACTTTTGAGTCCCTTTAAGAATTTTGAGATGTGGAAGTTATCCTGGATTGTCTGGGTGGGCCCAGTGTAATCATAAGGGAAAGAGAGACAGAGGAGGCAGAGAAGCTGTGACAAAGGAAGCAGAGTTCAGAGAGAGAGACGAGAGAGACAGATTTGAAGATGTTACTTCTGGCTTTGAGGATGGAGGAAGGAGCCTTGAGTCAAGTAATCCAGGAGGCCTCTAGAAACTGGAAAAGTTGAGGAAACGGATTCTCCCCTAGAGTCTCTAGGAGGAATGCAGCTCTTGATTTTAACACATTGGACGCATTTCAGACTCCTGACCTCCAGAATGGAAAGGTAATCAATTTGTGTTGTTTTCAGCCACTAAATTTGTTGTAATTTGTTACAGCAGCAATAGCAATAAGAAACAAATATAATCATACAGGCACATGGCTAGAAAGTGGAAGAGCTGGGATTATGAACCCAGGCCTGTCTATCTGCAAAGGCTGTGTTCTGTCTGCCCTCTGTTCAGAATGGGCCTGGCACACTTATGGCCAACTCCCTTCTCCCCTTTCTCTGTGAGTAGCCCAGACTGCTTTAAGGGAATGCACTGGGACTTCCAAACGGATTTTCTCCCAACATCTTTTTTCTTTTGTCTTTCAAACTTTTTTAATAAAAAGGTATGGCAAAATATACATGACAAAAAACTTACCATTTTAACTGTTTTTTTTTTCTTTTTTGAGAGAGAGTCTCACCCTGTTGCCCAGGCTAGAGTGCCCTGGCATCAGCCTAGCTCACAGCAACCTCAAACCCCTGGGCTCAAGTGATCCTTCTGCCTCAGCCTCCTGAGTAGCTGGGACTACAGGCATGCACCACCATGTCTGGCTAATTTTTTCTATATGTTTTTAGTTGGCCAATTCATTTCTTTCTATTTTTCGTACAGACAGGGTCTTGCTCTTGCTCAGGCTGGTTTCAAACTCCTGACCTTGAACGATCCTCCGGCTTCGCTTCGTCCTCCCAGAGTGCTAGGATTACAGGCATGAGTCACCACGCCCAGCCCATTTTAACTGTTTTTAAATGCATCATTCATGGCATTATGTGCATTCAAAATTCAATATGTGCCAGCACAGAGGCTCAGGCCTCTAATCCTAGCATTCTGGGAGGCCGAGGCGGGCGGATTGCTCAAGGTCAGGAGTTTGAAACCAGCCTGTGCAAGAGCAAGACCCCCATCTCTACTATAAATAGAAATTAATTGGCCAACTAATATATATAGAAAAAATCAGCCGGGCATGGTGGCACATGCCTGTAGTCCCAGCTACTTGGGAGGCTGAGGCAGTAGGATTGCTTGAGTCCAGGAGTTTGAAGTTTCTGTGAGCTAGGCTGACGCCACGGCACTCACTCTAGCCTGGGCAACAGAGTGAGTGAGACTGTCCCCCCCCCCAAAAAAAATTCAATATATATATAACTATCACCACAATTTTTTTCCAGAACTTTTTCATCATTTTCACATAGAAATTCTGTACCCACTAGATAGTAATTCACCATTCCTCCCTCCTCTCAGATCGTGGTTACCCCATTTAATTATGGAAATATTCCAGTATATACAGAAAAGTTGAAAGAATTTTATAGTGAATACCCATATACCCACCACCATTTTACAATTAATATTTTGCTGTATTTGTCTTATTACATGTCTATGCATCTATCCATCCTTCCACCCCATCAATCCATCTTTTTGTTATGAATTTCAAAGTTGCAGACAACAGCACATTTCACTTCTGACATTTTAGCATGCATAGCATTAACTAGAGTTTACGTTGATTTTCCTTTTTAACTTTTTTTCAGAGAAGGGGGCCTTTTTTTTTTTTTTTTTTTTTTTTGAGACAGAGTCTCACTCTGTTGCCCTGGCTAGAGTGCTGTGGCATCAGCCTCAAACTCCTGGGCTCAAGCGTTCCTTCTGCCCCATCCTCCCGAGTAGCTGGGACTCCAGGCATGGGCCACCATGCCTGGCTAATTTTTTTCTATTTTTGGTAGAGACAGGGGTCTTGCTCTTGCTCAGGTTGGTCTCAAATTCCTGAGCTCAAATGATCCACCTGCCTCGGCTGCCCAGAGTGCTAGGATTACAGGTGTGAGCCACCACACCCGCCTACAGAAGGGGTCTTGCTATGTTTCTGGTAGCCACTAGCCACATGTGGCTATTTAGTTTTAAATTTAAATCAGTTAAAATTAAATGAAGTTCAAATTCAGTACTCAATAGCCACATGTGGCTAGTAGCTACTACATTTGACAGCCCAGAGGACAATTTCCCTCACTGCAAAAAGTTCTAAGAACATTATCACCACCTAGAAAGCTCCCTCGTTCCCCTTCCCAGTCAATTCTCATCCTCAATCCTCAGAGCATCCTGTTCTGATTTTGTTTTCACCATAGATTATTTAAGCTTGTCCTAGAACTTCTTATAAATGGAATTATACAGTATGCCTCTTTTGCATAAGGCTCTTTTCATTCAGCATAATGATTTTGAGATCCACCCATATTGTGTGTATCAGTAGTTGGTTCCTTTCTATTGCTGAGTAGTATTCCATTGTACGGATATACTACATTTTTATCTATTTTTCTGTTGATGGATATTTTTCCATGGACTTATGTTTTAATTTCTTTTGCATAAATACCTAGGTGAGAAAGTGTATATTTAGTTTTATGTGAAACTGCCAGACCGTTCTCCAAAAGCGGTTGTATTCCCACCCGCGTTTTCACTTAAGCAACCGCGAGGGAAAGGAGTGAAACTCACAACCAGACACCGCCTCGCGGAGGACTAACAGACCGCGGGCTCCGCCTTCTTCCCCGCCGGCCTGTCAGCTGGATCCTGATTGGCCGGCGGGGGAGAAAGGCGGGGCCAGAGGGAGCCCTCACATCTGGGGCCGGACTTCCTCCTTTTCTGCTTCGGGCGGTTCTCTCGGCATCCGCCCGGTGCTCTGCTCGCTGCTGCCCCCGTGCGGTCAATCTCGAGTGAGGCGCAACGCTGCTCCTGATCGCGCCTAAACCAAAGCCTGGTTTGGAGACAAGCTCTCTGGAGGAACGGGTGTTCTTAACGACGAAATTTCCTGCTCGCGACTCCGTCCACACGTCTTATCTGCCCTCTCTCACTGAGAGGTCGCAGTCCAGTCCCTGGCTCATTAATAACAACTGCAAGGACATTAGCACGCGGCGCTTTACAAAATGCATTGTCAGCATTATCTCGTGTGACACTCAAAAGAACCCCTCCCCTCCACCGTACGATGCTTTCTCTCCAAGCTTTTCGCTCTCCCGCTTTTGCGCCTGAAGTTTACAAGAACAGTGTTGTAGAGGATCCGAACAGAAAACGGTATTTGTTTCGCAGTCTTGCAGGTTCCAGAACACAACCTCACCTCGCACTGCTTCAATA